CACTCCTTGAACTCCGGCACTGGGTTATCCCGCCTGAGCCGGCGAAAGCGCTGGCGCTGCTCGGACTCGTCGCCGCCGGCCACGGCCCGGGCGCTCTTGTAGAAGAAGGCATGGCCGTTCCAAGAGGTAAATGCTATGGCCTTCTCCTCCTTCTCTGCTGGTTGGAAGCTATTAACATTCATGGGGTCACGCCCGCGGGGTTGTTTGCACCCCTGGCATGCCCGATTTCGTGGATTGGGCTAGATGCACTGCTTCTTGAAGGTATGCAATGAAAAGACGCCGTGAAACCATGCTCCGTCACCAATGCGCACTGACTGCAGCGGCATGCTTCAGGGTCATGAACGAAGCATTGCAAAAGTGGCAATCCGCATTACAAAAGCTGCATCAACCAACAACCGAGCCCGAAAGCAGCAAACAATAATACGTTTTGCGGCCGCCTCGACCTCTATGAGTCATGTCTGAGGCGACATTGGACTATTAGAGGTCATTGGTGGCATAGCTGTCATTGGAACAAGCTCGCTTTTACATAGCGAAGGCATGGAACCATGTATGCAGCGCTTCAAACCAAAGGAATATGAGCATCGAAATCAGCGAGCTCTTGATTTCAGAGCATCATGACCATCAAACGTGCGAGTCAAACACGTTTGAGCCAAAAAGTCTACAGTTGCAGGTATCAGGGTGTGCATCATGAGCACCAAACGTGCGAGCCAAATACGTTGAGCCAAAAAGTCCACAGCTTGAGGCTCCAGGGTTTGCATCATGACCATCAATCGTGCGAGCCAACTGAGCCAAATACGTTTGAGCCAAAAAGTCTACAGCTTGGGGCTTCAGGGTTTAGGGTAGTTCGCTTTGTGTTGGGTTGTACCAGTCAAAAATATCTCATCATATCACACACAGGTTTTAAAGACTAGGTATGGGCTCACGTTGTCACAATAAGATTTCGGAAAGCCCACATGTGTATAGATGTGAAGTGAACACAGCGTGTTTCACATGCGAAATCTCGCGATCATCAGCTGATGGAGCGTGTGCTTGCGACGAGCTTTGGAGATTGATGGCATCCTGACGTAAAGATACATTTAAGTTTACACGCCCGACACCGGTTGTTGTGATTCCACATGAGACCGATCGTCACTGAGCACGTCCGGCTCCAGCACACACTCCATTCTCTCCACTCTCCTCCCCTCACACTCTGCTCTACACTAACCCTCCCCTGCTCTGCACTCTTCTCCCTCTCTCCCTCGTCCTCTCCACTCTCCACTGCCACTCCTGGTACGATCTGGCGTGTTGTTAAACTGGCCGATTGGTGCACATCAAGATGCAATCACTGATACTGATACATGCCGCAATCCTGCTTGACATCAAACAGCTGTTTTTTCGTCAGAGGGTAGCCATAGCCATCAGTATCACTCGCTACGATTTGCACGTGCCGCAGCCATAAACACTATGGCCAGCGCAGTCCCGACTTGGCACAAGCACATCGTGTTTCCAAGGACGGTCTTGGAATACTTCTTGCCCATGGTGATGATGTGCTGCATGGTCTGCTCATCTGGCATGCACGGATGCGTCGTTGAGTCACTTCGGTGCACCGGAAACCCTTGGACTGACATCAACTCCTGCACAGTGTAGAGTCTGTCAGCTCGAAGATTGTAAATGTTGGAGTTTTTAACCAAGGTCGGCATCACACGCATCGCACCAGTGAAACCGATGTCCTGCGCACAATCAACATTGAAATCAAAATCAGTGTGCTCATCCTGCTCGAGCTTCTCACGATGCTTCATCATGCGAAGTCTGTGCCCCGTAGCGAGAACATGCTTGCAAGAGTACGATTTGCCCTGCTGCCCACGTGGCTCCAAACCTCGCGCCGCGGCGAGGCCATCCAAGAGAGCAATGACCTCATCCTCGGGCGATTGCAGGTACACGGATCCATGAAGATGCAGGCGGCGAAAGCAAACCTCGCCAAGGATGTTGACATCGAAAGCGGCAGCTTCACAGGTTGCCGACATGGGGTTTGGCCACACCAAAGAGTAGCGGCGGGGTCGGTGAGTCGGTATCCCCAAATCGCACGGGCTGAACACGGCCATCTCCAGTCTACAACCAGGAAACATGGAGCTAAAGAAAACCTCAGCTGGGAAGGAGCCCACATTCTCGTTGACGATGCAATCCGGAGGGGGTGCCAACCTCAAAGAGAAAGCCCAAACAAGAGCACTGATACTTTCTGGATCCAGAAAACCCAGCTGCCGTCCACGCTTGGACCAAGGAGTGCAGGGATGCCCTGCAACTTCTACCCACAAGCGGTGGCCATGATTGACCACTGGTGCCCATGGGCACTGGTGTCCACATTTCAAGCACTCAGCAGAAGCCTTGAATGAATCACGATTTCGATCCATGCACTTGATAGCTGCCTGCAGAAACAGCAACCCATACTTTTCCACCAGCTGGTGAATCTGACGACTGTCCTTGGAATCAAGTTTCTCCTTGGCATTCTCAAATAATGTAACATACCGTGCTTGTAGACTCGCAAGGCTCTTCACGACCTTGTCACCAACACGATCTTGAACATCACTGAACACATGTTGGCCCTTCAGGAAAGGCCTGCACTGCTTGTCCACCTCGGTTTGACTATGCAGCTTAATGTCCACCGGAATGCCTCGAGCATGCATGGCAGACTGCACAGCAGTAGCAGCAAATTCAGCAGCCCCAAGACCACTGAAGGATGTCGTAAGTTCAACCGAAAGTGGAGACGATGTTGCCTGCGGCCGACAAGGCCCACACTTCTCGAGCAATCGAGAAATCACATCATGGTTCCAATCGAAAATCTCTGAATATTCTTTCGGCCCATATGGCAGGGACTCGGCGGGAAATCTGCTGCTCGTTGAATTCCGGGGCTTTGGAACGTCAGGCAGCACATCACCGTGCTCAGGAGACTCAGGTCGCTCGCCATAATCTTCTAGATCTAGGCTATACCGAGAACGCTTCAAGGCAGGCGGCCGTGCACTGTCACCACTACTCTGCGACATGGTTGAGCCCTGGGTTCAAGCAGTCCTCTCATCAGATCGACAAAGCAGGCAGACAGCCAGAGCATGCACCGCAACAGCTGCAACAGAAGCACTGAAGGCGTTTCATGCTTTCGCTGACATGGCCATCCTGGCCATCTGAAGTTTTGTGCACTATGACACAATTGGCACTGCTGGCAGTGCCTACAAGGCCTGGCGAAAGGCCCCGTCGGGATAATGTCAAAGCATCCCAACAGCAAAGCTTCATACTTATTGCGGGTCTGAACATGCGGCTGTTGGGAAACCCTGTCTTCACAAAAGTCAACCTCGAAGTGGCCAGGAAAGCACGGGAGGCGGGAAGATGAACATAGGAGCGATAGTGAACTACACGACTGATGATGTGATAATTGGAGACTGGACAAGCCTAGTGCCACATGGAGGGATACCCAAGGAAAAAGCAATGCTGTGCACTGCGAAAACTCGCTCCCATCTCGAAGTCAGACTGAACATCAGGACGACCACACAGTGCAGTACATTGCACAACCGGGCAGCCGAATGCATCACTGAACATGTCACAGGTGGGTTAAGTCCTCCACACGTTGTGTCTTCGGGTTCGGGGTGTCCGATGCTGATGCTGCCTCTGCGGATCGCTTGGTGTGTGTGTGCTCATCACCCTGTGCCGGCTGGGTGCCTTTGTGATTGTGACTACCTGGAACTGGTACTGGCGAAGCTTCGGGCTCCTTGGCTGCTGCCGGCTTTTGCTGGGCTTGCTCATGCTCGGGTGCATGCTGTTCAAGCTGCAGTTGCTCCTTCTCCTTCATCTTCTGATCTTTCATTTGTTGTTGCAAAGCTTGTTGCTCTTTCTCCTTCATCTGCCTTTCCCTTTCCTCGTGCTCCTGTTGTTTCTCATGCTCCTTTCGTTGGTGCTCTGCCTCCATCCTGTCCAGATTCTCTTTGAAAGACTTTTCGTCTACTTCGTTGCTTGGCTTTTCGAGCTGACCTTTCTGATCCTGTGGGGCTTCCTGCTTGCTGGGCTGCTTTGGCAATGCTCCTTGTGGCTCTTGCGGCGCTGGGTTTTCGAGGGGCTGCCTGTCCGTCCCAGCTCCGACCAACTTGTTGGTCAAGCAATTCAGCATCACCTTCATAAGCTCGTCATCTCGACACCAGGTCTTGGCAAGCCACTCCAAGTCCTGCTTCGCACCCAGAGTGTCACAGAGCACACCAGCACGAACTCCGACCCAAGGAGCCGAGCCGAGGATGCGCTCAGCGAAAATCCAGCCGGCCGGAACATAGAGAGCATCTCCCTTGCGAAGGCAACAAAATATATTCTGAAAACTCACACATAACAGAAACGACCCGGCAAGAACCCACCACCCAACATCTATCAAAAAACCTAGTTCTAGCGTTTCCGCTCTATACGCATAATACGAAAGCGGCGTTCCTTCCAATAGTGGATCAAAGGATGAAGATGCAGCCAACTAAGATTCCAAGATTCAGATCCCTATCTAAACTTAAACCACCCGCTTCACAATCCTCGGTTTTGCTCATTCTTATGTAGGAACACGCATGATTTGAAGGCTTTGCTAGGCCAGGCAAGAAAACTGAAACAAGGCATCGAAAGTTTCATACAGACAAAGCTGCAAGGATAAACCGCCCGTTTCACAGCCCCTGGCTTTGCTCCCTGCATGATTTCAAGGCTCGGCTTGTGCTTATGAATGCATAGGGTTGCCCTAAACTCACATCCGAAAGCACTTATTTCACGATCACCGGTCCTTGTTCACGTTGGCATAGTACACCTGAATTCCCTTGTTGCGAACATCAGCAAGCTGCTCATCATTCATTTCCGTGAACAAATCTCTGGCCGACTTGAGCGACGATGCACCCATGTGCTCTTGCAAGCACTTCTGTCGCATCATTACGACTTCGCGGCTCCCGGATACAGTCAGGCGCAGGGCACCTGTCAGTGAACGAGTCATCGCTCCCGTATGCCGTCATGCAGCAACACTTTCAAGTAAGTGCCCAACCTGACTGATGCTTCTCCGTGGCAATCTTGATGACATTCTTTGCAACAATGACCGCTTGCACGTCCATCGCGGCCTTGACATCTTGGGGGATTTCTGGGGAAGAGCACGGCCCGGCTTGACGAAGCAAGGAACCCATCCTCGATGCCATGGCGTGGTAGACGTCTGTGTTTGCAGCAAACCTTTTGTGTGCTCGGTCCACCCGCTGTGCACTTGCTTGTGCACTGAACAACTGCGCAAACTCCTGCATGATGGCCTTCTTGATTGGATGGCTCGCTTCGAACTCGCTTAACTTCTCAGGAGTTGAGCGGATGATTGCGGGGCTGTCGAAATCACTCAACTCCTCGCCCTCTGCTATCACTGACACAGAAGCCATGTGGTCGGCAGCCTGGAATAGCTTGGCTGGGCCGTGCACTGATGCAGTGGCCTTTTTTTTGCTTGTTCCCGATGCTGCCTTGGCAGCTGCACCCGCAGCAGCTTTCTTGACGACTTTCAGGCCTCGCTGAAGGTCAGACAAAGCGGATTTGGCGGCGCTGACCAAGTCAGCGATTGGGTTCTTGAAGTCCTTCTGCAGGATCGCCTTCTGCTCTTCAATGGCCTCCACGGATTCACACTCATTGATCTTGTCAAGTTGAATCTCCCAGTCTGAGAAAGCCCGCAGGTCGCGGAAGGTTCGCGATGGGGAAGCCGAGCCCAAAGCCTTGACGGACTCAGATTTCACGGAACCTTTGTCATCAGCCGCTGCATCGAAGCTGCTGATGTAGTTGGCAAGTGCACTAGGACCATCAAGCACTGCTTCCAGGCATTTCTGCCTGCCGAGCATGATAGCATGATCTCCTTCCAATTGCTTTTTATCCTTTGCACGGAGAGAATCATACTCGCGCTTAGCGGCAACCATCTTCTGCAGCTCGCCTTTGGATAGCTCGCACAGTCTCTCCAGGATACCCTTAGCAATCTTGGCTGCCTTGTTGACCTCGCGATCACGGTCGAACCACGATTTTCGACCTGCCGGCTTGTCCTCGCCCGCAGACTTTTCCGAGTCGTCGCCACTCCCCGAGTCATCAGATGCCTCCGGCTCTGAAGCCGGGCAAAGGGCTTCGACATCTCCCAGAGCCGCTGCGTGACCTTCCATTCCAAGACCACCAGCAAGGTCGTTCGCCACATCTGACAAGGCACGGGCACCGGCAACACTCTCATGGCTGAGCATGAGATTCTTGCCAAGTTTTCTCACATCCTCCTCTGTGCCCTTCTTCTTTGTGGCCCCCACAGCCTCCACACGCCTGAAGAAGGACAGTGATGACACATTCCCAATTTCGCTGGTCACATACTACTCAAGTTGAGGGTTTTCTTGATGAGGGCAGCACAAGGCGACAAAAGCGGATCACCACCTCTGGCTCTGTGTCTTTATTGTTGTGACGACTCTCATCTTACAAATTTGGCTTAACCCTCGTAACAGAACACTCACAACCACAACGACTCTCGTCTCCAGAACAGTGCACCGTCAAGTAACAACTACAATAAAACGATAGAACAGAGGATCATTCCATCAAACACCAACAATCTCGTCGCATGGTCGCAGTCGTCGAGTCGTCGAAAGCATCGCCGTCGTCCTCGTCGTCGCCAACAAAGTCATCGCCGCTGCACACAAGGCTGATGTTAACTGGCGCTTGGCCCTTGCTTGTGGTCATATCCAAAGACTGAACTCAATGTCTCAGTGGCATAGAGACTTGGCATCATATTCACCAGGCATCGTCCCACGATCGGAAACGCCGTCGTCGTAGTCGTCGACGTCACAAATCATCGTCACTGTATCTTCCGAAGTCTGAACATGTCAGGCGGGATCACGACTCAAAACCATACAACCTAAGCATCCTCGTTGTGAAGCTGAGGGGCTTAGAGCGGCTGTACTTGTTGACGAAGTTAACATCGTCGCCAATGTGGATCCTGAGCCTGAGTGGAGCCTGCTTGGGTCCCAATGTATCCGTGATCGTTCCATCAGCTTCAGCTGAATCAGACATGGATTTCCACTTCGCCTCTGCTGCGGCTTTCGACAAAGATCCTCCTGCTGGGGTTTGAAAGTGTTCCACCGCCTGGTCCTGCCACATCATGGTGCCTCTTGCGACGGATTCAACTGCTGACGAGGCTTTGGTTGTTTCGATGTATGTAATGACGCTGAAGGTCGCGGTCTTCTGTCCTTTTGATTTTGCTTCCACGACAGCCGCCCGGTAAGCGTTGATCAAGGCTTTGAGGCGCTTGGGACACTGTTTCACCTCTGCCAACCAGGCGCTTTTTCCGCACGCACGGCACTTCTTGGACAAGACGTCCAAGCATTTCTTGCAGTCCAGGCAGTTGCTCTGGTTTATGGCAAAGCTTGACAAGGGTAACGACTTACCACAGGACTTGCAGTGCTTCTTTCCCTTCTCTTTTGTCTGTCGCTTCTCATGACGCCCTGTGCCACGGGAGTCTCTCTTTGCCGGCTTTCCCGATCTTGTCTTGCTTCGCCCACGCTTATCTTTGGGAGTTGTGGAGGCCTTTGACTTCTTGTCACTGCTAGGCTCCGCCCGTCGCTTGCTACCTCTATCCTTCTTGGGGGTCTCAATCGGCTCTCTGGATTCTTCAGCCTCGGACTCCTCAGGCCCTGAAAAGGACACCTCTTCATCAGACATGTTCAGACACACCCAATGCGCCCGGCGTGTGCTTCTATGGTCTACTCTCACTCAAACGGCGCATGAAGTGTTCTGAATACTTCTCAAACAAGACTCACCTTGGCACAACATCACGACTGCATTGTACTGTATGCTTCGGTGCAACACCTGCATTATCTCGACTCTTCGTCTGGGCAACGACACAGCTACACGAAGCGCTCAGACCTAGACTCGAGGTGAAGCTATGTTTGCATGTGGAACAGCAAGTGAGCCAAGACAGCCGTTCAATTGAATCAACAGAACTGACTCCAGCGTCTCAGCAAAGGACGGGGTGTTATCGTGCAGCCATGGAATCAACTCGCATCCAGCTAGTTGTTACCGAGGGCTTTGCAAGCCTCCTCCATGTTGTGAATCAAGGCGCACAGACTGTCGGTCACGATAGACGAAGAGCATAACCTCCTAGTAGTAGGAGAATAGGATCGAATCCCTTGCTCCACTGCCCCGGCCGTTGGGTTGGGTATTGATGGCTTTATCTGCACCAGGAACTCCACCGAACCCCCCCCCAAGAACTCCAAAACCTTCCAAAACCAAGAAATTCGGGAGTTCAGGACCCAAACTCATCCAAACCCCCAAAACCGCCCAAAACCACGACCACCCCAAAACCTTACACTGGCTCGACCCCGCTCGACCTTGCTCGACCCCTGGCTCGACCCCTGGCTCGACCTGGCTCGACCTGGCTCGACCCACGGCTCGACCCGGCTCGACCCGGCTCGACCCTGCTCGACCCCTGGCTCGACCCTGCCCGGCCCGGCTCGACCCGGCTCGACCTTGCTCGACCCGTGGCTCGACCCCCCGTCTGCAAGGGTTTTGGCCCTAGCAATAATTCAAAAGTAGACCCAGCGTTTTGGATCAGTTTTGCTGGAAATTTGGATTATTTTGCCGAAAGCCCTTGCCAGCGCGACCCAGCGTTTTTTTGGTTGCATTCTCACAGCCTGCCGGCCCCTCACGTGGCACCCAAATCACCCCAAACCGGAGATCCCAACCCCCCCTGCCCCAGACCGCAGCCAACGCCTACACTGAGCACGCAATCCGTGATTTCCAACCCCCCGAAATCCAGAGCCTCAGGAGGGGGCGGGAACCCCACCAAATCCAAGCATGAAATCCTGATTTCCAACCCCCCGAAATCCAGAGCCTGAGGAGGGGGTTGAAGCAGTGTTGCATAATGCTAGAATGATTTGTAACTGGGCCATCAGCTGGCATGTTGCATGGGTGTAAGCGCTTATCCTGCATCAATGCAAGAAATCATTCAGCCTGATCCCCAACAGAGGCGGGGGTGGGGGAATGTAAACGGATTTGGGCACGAAACCCCCAATAGTAGCTCATAGCTTCGAAGCCACGCACGGACATGTAAAACCAAACAACATGTACCGACTGCACATGCAATCATGCAAGAGAACACGGCACTGTCACAGCACACACAACTGGTTTCGCAGCGCATTCTGAATGCACGGTGCCGGATCCCATAACCATTGGTCCTGCGACGAGCAGCAGTAGATGGGAAGTAAGCACATACACCACACTTCCGAAGTCCTCCAAGCAAGAGGGCAAACTGCAGGGTCTGCTCGAGATGACCTTCAGAAGTCTTCTCACTTGCACTTTAGTATCACGACTGTTCTTGAGGCACCTGCCTGCTCCAGTCATCCATGGCTCAGAGCCACCTGCCCGAGTGCAAATGACAGCATGAGGAGAGTGCTGTGTGTGGACGGCAGGAACAGTGAAGAAGCAACACAGTTTTCACGAGCTTGCTTTCATGCTCCCTCCCGTGTGGCCTGGGTAGCTGTTGCACCAGCCACCCGCATCAATCGAATAAAAGCATATCTCATCTGACCTGAGAGCGTCAGGATTGGCCCTTCAAGTTTGATGGCCCAAGCTCAAGCATGATGTGGACACATCTCAATGATGTTTCGAGGGCACCTCTGCATCCGAAAACAGACCTGCCGTCAAGGATTATCGCGATTGTTCAAAGCTGGGGAAGAGCACGGTCCTGCCTGACCATCAATCTCAGCTGAATGACCTGCGGAGCTTGTGTTGGGAAGGAGCTTGTTCAAGGGTTTAGCGTTTCAGGCTTTGTTTTTTAGGGTTTCGGGTTTATGGTTTTTTGGTTAGGGTTCAGGGCTCGGGTTTTAAGGTCTTTGTAGTCTTACGTCTTCAGCAGTGGCACAGACCAGAATACTGAATCTAATCAGTGAGCCCGACCGGCGCTACGTGACCCAATGCCTCATGAAGAGCTGCTCGAGCTGGAACTCGAAGAGGAAGAAGAACTCGGCGGATCCGACGCAGCTTCGTCGGACGGCGGCCTGCACAACGTGTTGCGGCTGGACGCTGCAAAAAAAAGTGATTTTGGCTGTGCACAACTTCAAAGGGCACTGCCAGGGTTGCTCCAGTTTTTCGTGCGTGACAACGACAATCCAACAGACACAAGCAACCCAAAACCTTAAATCAAGATCAACTTGGGCACGACCTGCTCTTCCATCCAAACAGAACCTACTAGAACACGGGGCCTGGCCTGGCGACTCTGGCACTCGATCTCCCGCGGCCCCGCGCGGATCCTGCTCCGCTTCTGCCTCTGGATGAAGGCGTAGCTTTGCTTTTTGCTTTGGCCGCACCGGACCCGCGACCCCTGGCTTTGGCTTTTGCAGATGACACGGCAGCACCGGCAGCACCCCCAACACCAACAGCCCCACCATCAGCATGAGCATCATGAGCAGGCAGAGCAGCGGCTGCTGCGTCACGCTCCCGATCTAGCTCCTCATCCGTGCGAGGACGGCCGGGGGGAGCTTGCGTTATGAGCCCTGCATCCAAGACTGCCTGGGACGGCGCTGTTTCGGGAGAAACAAAATGCTGGATGTGATCCCTCTGGCGGTTGTATGATTCCGCACAGTTGCACCAAGCTTTCAAGGCACGAAGAGCATTGTCTTTGTCGGCTGCAGTGCTGCCGCGAATCGACACGAACTTCTTGCAATCAGTCTTGGCTGACTTGCGATGAAATGGGCAACGAGCTTCATACCCGCCGTGAACCCTTGCGGCAGCAGGTTGCTTCAGGTTGATGCGGAAGACCCCCCAGGCCGGGGGTTTTTCGAGCTCCGAATCCACGGAGACATTGTCTTCCTCAGCCGGCCTGTTGCGTGGCAACCCGGGAGGTGGGGCGGCGGGGGGAGGTGGGGGTGGAAGCATTGCTTCTGAAGTCTCAGCTTCATCCAACGGCACAGAGCCAATACCGCCTCCGTCGTCCTCTGACCTGGCATCCTGCCCCACAACTTCATCTTCGCTATCGGCTTGATCAATCAACCGCTCCAGCTCATGCACCAATTCATCGTGCTCTTCATCCCGACCCTCGGCACTGCCCGCACCTTCAAGAACCTCCAAACCAGCAAGAGCGGGCTCAAGACCCTGATGCACATCATCCTGCACAGCATGGTCACCAATGTCAACATCGTCGTCATCCAACAACCCTTGCTGTTCGGTGCTTGGCATGGGGATTGGCTTTCCTGCAAGAATGGCTGTGTAAACTGCAGAGGGACTTGTTGTCCAGTGCGGTATTCTGTCGACAGCACCAGCGGCAAAGATGTTCTCTGCTTTCAGCAGACACTGCAAGTAAGTCTTATTGACAAAGTGTGACAAGGAATACCAGACCTTGGCATCGCCTGGCTTGTAGCACAACGCTTGTTTTGCTGACTTACTCTTCGGGAGGGGCTGCCATACCCAACCATCATTCTCCATAGCCAACATCAGCTCCATCACATCCCAATTCTTGGAAGGTTGGCTGCTCATGCTGCAAACTGGTGCGGGATTGCCCAAAGCTGTGACAACTCGCAAACTGCGAACACCTTCCTGTGTAAAGCGCACAAGTGCAGAATCCCGACCCGGGGCAGGATTCAAGATCTGGAGAAGCCCATTCTGTGCAAGTGCTCGACACATCTGTGCTGAAGACAATGGTGGCTGGACATACGGCTCATCAGGCAATGCTTTAGCATCCAAAATGGCAGTCACACAAGACAGCACCTCATGCCCTGGAAACCCAACGCACGGCAACGTGTACTGAACCTTTCCTGACACCTTCCAGACACGGAGATGCTCACGCAGCGTGGAAAGTGGACAGTGCTCCAAATCTTTCAACAGCTGGGGAGCTGCCAAAGCGCTCATGTTTACTGCAGGGCTTGACTCATCATCGTGAATGATGTCATGCACAGTAACGACGGAAGACCCTTTGGGAAAGATTGGTTTGAGAGCAACACTGCCTGGGGCAAGCTTCAGGTTTTCAGGGGCACCGTGCAACACACGAAAGACCATATGATCAGGAGCGGTGGCATTCATGTTGGGTTCAAGCACGTCCACATCTGCACTGTTGCCGAGAGCTTCAAGCTGTGCTTGGGCCCGGACATGCACCGTCTGCAAAGGAAGAATCTCGTAGCAACCGCCATTGGCATCAGCCTGAAGCTGCTGCACGGAAGGCAGCGAGAAGAAACAGCTGGAATCAGACATCTTTCGAAAATGATCAACAATTGCACGCTTAAAGATGGCATCATACGTCCGGGGTGTGGGCAAGGCCTGTGCATCATGGACACGGGCAGTTTCTTCCCGGATTTTCTTTGTGATTTTGTCGTGCTCTACCCTAGCCTCGCGATAATCGGCGAATTGCTCAGATAAATCACAGCGGTGCACGATCTTTTGAAGTCGAATCCACCAGTCTGTTGTGGAAACGACCTTGTCATGAAGAAGCTGTAGCAGCTCGGGGTGCTGCAACACTCCAAGCATTGCAGCTGCCTTCTTCAAGTTGCGCATCTGATCAAAAGCAGCTGTCAGTCTGCTAAGGAATTCAGGAGATTCCTGAACATGCCTTTTGATTTCGGGAAGCCTGACGGTCATAGACACTTTCGTGGGGCCAAGCTGAACATGTTTTGATGCTATCTTGACGTCGCGGTGCAATCCTTCCACCACGCGCTCTACACAGGGCACAAATTTTAGGGGGGCCACAGCCTGCAACAAATCAGGGGACATTGGGCTCCCCTGAGAGAAGGCTTCGACAGATTGCCGCAGCGGCCCACCGGGGGACAGGAATTTCACACTAAGTGGGTGGTGATGCTCTGCTTTAACCCGACCTGCCTCCAATGACTTATCGAATTCTGCCAAGCATTCGGCGGCACAGTTTCGAGCGACCGAGTCAAAATGATGACCCAAACCGCAAAGACGCCACGGCACAGTCTCCCAGAACGCAAGTTTCGACTTCAAGCCGAACTGGAGGTATGCTCTGGCATACTCGAAGTCACGCAAGATCGCATTTCTGTGATCTTCTGTCAGAGCAGGCAACCCTGAAACATCGATACCCATGAAACTCGAATGTGCCAACTCGGTGAGTTCTTCGAATGTGGAGTTGATACAACCTACGGCCAACTCACAACTTCGTTTGCCCTTCATAGGACAATGCTTAACGGAGACATCCGAACCTGGTTTGCGCCTGTGCAGACGGAATTTCCGCTTTTTGCTGAATTCCCTGACTTCATGATGGCAAGGACACCCTTCGACCCAACACTCGAAATTGAACACAAGCTTGTGGACGGCCCACACCATGTGAAGATAGTGGAAGAACATGGGACTTCCCAAAGCCTTGTCCACCCCTTGCAGAACAGATCTGTCAATGCCTGAGTCGGACACATATGTATCATAGTTCCACACCTGTCGCAACGGCTCGAGAAGCGGCATCAGACAATCCAAGCAGCTGATTACATTCTGCCAGCGTTTCTCATAGAGTTTCGACATACCTGCTTGTTGGAAGTCTGGCTCCAGGTGGGCTGCTGCTGATCCACGGACACATTGATTGATGAGGCGCTCCCTAAGGTGGCGTTCCGCTAACAGTTCAGCCACATCCTTCAACTGTTCCCAGAACGGCTCCCAAAGCTGCATCTTCTCATGGAGATCCGCAGCCAAGTTATGACACACATGCAACAGACCCGGCACAATTAGGCAACTTGGCATCAACGATGTGTCGAGCCTCGGCTGCTCTGCAGCAGCAAGATTCTGCCCATCGCCATCATGCAACGAAACCTCTGAATCAGATGGGATGTCCTGCACATCGGTCTCTACCGGAAGGCTTGCGTGCAGCCAAGTTGGTACAAGAGTTTCGGGATCCTTTGCTTGAAACTGCGGAACTTGGACCTCTAGGCCTAAGTCAGTGGTCCAACTCACGACACGACTCAGCTGCTGAGTCAAGAAGGCACGGCTGTCGCTTTCAAGGGCCAACACGTGAAGCAAGCAAGAAACTTTGTCTTCCAATCTGGTCTTACCACTGGCCATTGCTACAGGTATGTTCTTGTGATGCAAGAGATTTGCCTGCAATGTGCGGCTGCAGTGCAGAAGCTCATCGAGATCCAACTCTCGGGATTCAAAATGGTCCTGCAAGTCGGGTCTCGCCCTGATTAGCTTATTCACAACCTGGAAGGTCTCAATAAGGGAGGATTCGGGAATGCAGGCCTCCATACTCATGAACCACTCTCTCCCACTTTGCGGGGAGGAATCAGCCCAGGCGAAAAGCAGGTGTGGAGTTTGCTTCCAACGTTCCCTGCACAACATGAGGTATGCAAAGTCCATGTATGTGGATGCACGTGCTAATGTGGTGGTTTTGGGGCACTTGACATGCTTGGCCAAATCGTCGAAATCAAGTCCAGGCAAAGCAAGCTTCAATGCAAGTGGAATGGCCTCAGCCATGTGTGTTCGTGACCCCAAAAGGAAAGCCAAAAACACAGCAGCAATCATCACGTGACTGGGGTAGTGGGATGGGCGAGGCTGATGCTCAAGATTTCGCTGCAGGGTTTCAAACCATTGAATCATGTCTGCAAGCTCTAGCTGCATGAGGCCAGCTGCCTCCTCATTCGAGTTTGTCAACAGCACAGGGGCCCAAGATCTGACACGATCTGCCAGCAACGACACTTGCTGGTGCGACAAGGTGGTTGACCAGTGCGGCTCCTGTCGAAAAAGTTTTTCCTTGAGCTCATCTGGAGGGAAATCCGCAGTTTCGAAAAGTTCTTGTGGAAGCGTCCAATGCCCTAACAAACCAACGGAACTCCAAGCACCTCTTACGATCAACCCTGCGACTGGTTGCACAACTGGCACGGCTACAGATGCTTCTGTTAGCTCCAACCCCCAGCGCTGCAATGCATCCTGCACAGTCATGTTTCCTATGCGACTTGATGAATCGCACTGCCACAACACCCCCGGCACATTGAGCATGCGCTCTGGCTTGCAATTGGATGGAAGGAAAGGGGACAATGCATTCGGCCGACCTCGCAGGGGCCTAGGCTCTGCATGACGCACATCAAGGTATGTGTGTACCTCTTGGGGTTCTTGGAAAACCAAGCACTCCTTCACCAAGACCGTGTACAAGCTGCCTTGGGCTGTCCAGAAGGATCTCCACACCCCTAGTTCGGATCTTTTCGGATACTCCGACAGCAAGTCGTCTGCCGAAATGCCGGGACATATGCTCATGATGCCGTGCAAAGCAAACTTTACCGAATCATTGCGGTTGCGCACCGACAGCCACTCTGCCAAATCGTGCTCTTGAACAAGCTCCAGAAACCATGGTTTCTTAGGAAACTGGCATCGCAGCCGCTGTCCCGACTCTGACCACACACGGGTCTGATGATTTTCCACAGCGCAAAGATACACAACCGTCGTCATGCTCGGCCACAGTCCCTGACAAATCTACTGCTTACTCATACGTCCTACAGTAGAGTCCTACATTTGCCTCGGACTTCGAACCTATACACGATATCATTGACATAGACTCTGCTCGGCCACAGTCTCGTCTCTACTTGCAAATTCTTCCAATCATCTTCAGAAGCTTCGCAAACGAGCCACTTAAGCTTGAGCCTGCGTTTGAGCCGCCTACGGTGGGTTTAGGGTTCATGGGTTAAGGTTGCGAAAGACGGAGAAAGAATCGGAGTCAATGAGAGCTGCAGGACATGTCTCCTGCTGGAATTCCTGAGCTCCAGCACTGTGAATAAAGTTACGCAAGAGTTAGGCCGCCTGTCGGCGGAGAGAACATATCACATCCTGCAAATCGATGAGTCTGCTTTCCCGAGCTGTAGAGGCAACAGCTGCAGCCACCGCAAATTTGGGCACAGTCTGCAAATTGCCCTGACCACTGCAAATCAGATCTGAGCTTTCGTTCTGCAAAGCCGACAGTCGAAGAAACGGGCCTGAACTTGTTTCATGTCTTTATCTGATTTATCTTCTGCTGTCCATCTGCCTACTCTCTCTTTCTGCTTTCTTCTTCTTGGGCGTTTCGAATTGTGACCGGCACAATGAGCATCAGCATGAGCATCAGCATCAGCACAGCAGTAAGGCAGCAGCTCCCTTGCCGTAGGCTGTAATTTAATATTTTCCTCTAGATCTGCAATCCATCTTCTTTAAATCTTTCTCTTTTTTCTCGTGGCTGTCACAAGCCGCTTGAATCCGCTTGAACCAAAAATAGCAATAGCACATCATGAGCAGCAGCGGCAGCATTAGCAGCACGGCAGTACGCGACATCATGAGCAAAAGCGGAAACAGCAGCAGCGGAGGCTCCGATGCCGATATCTCCTATCATTCACCTTTCGGCGCCTATACTCCACGCCTACGCCGTTCGGCGCCCAGCCCCAGCCCAAGTCCTACACCTTTCGGCGCTTCACCCCAAATTTAGCTACGCCTTTCGGCGCCCATCCCCAGCCCAAGTCCTGCAATCCTACACCTTTCGGCGCTTCACCCCAGCCCAAGTCCTACACCTTTCGGCGCTTCCCAAATTTAGCACGAAGGACACCATCCTAACCGAGGAAGCCGCAGCCTGTGCGATTTCCAGCCGCTTCGCAGCTGACTACCCTCCCTGGTTGTCGCTTTTGGCTTCACGGAGCATCGCCGAAGCATCAACCAAGGCAAATCCATTGCAGGCCCCGTGTTTCCTTGTTTTCCACACAGACCCACACACAGCCGCGACCCGGATGAAACTTAATATTGGAAGCAGTCCAATAAACGGCCCCGGCAATCCACGTAGAACATGGGGGCATTGCGCCACACGCAAAAGGTGCGGATCTCCGCGGGGGAGACGCCCCGCTGCTGCCAGTTCCCGGGACAAATCGAGTTAAAGTCTTCCATGACCTCCTGCAGCGGGAGCTTCAGCAGCTCCGCTATCTGTCTGGGCACACACAGCATGTCCCGGCGCTCCTCGAAGGCGCTGGCCAGGATCTGGTCCCCAGCGAAGAGCTGGCAGCTGACCTCCTTGAGAGCCCCCAGCGGTTGGCGGAGGCGGATTTGGGTGTCCACCCGATTGTCGATGACCTGCATGCTCGAGGAGCTGTAGGCCCACTCGTTGGTGGGGTGCAGGAAGTACACTTCCCCCGAGATCATGTAGATGGGCTCGTCGGGTCCCGGCTGCCGGAGCACGGACTCCTTGACATTGCGAGCGACCTGCGCCTCGCTCCAGGCGTCGTTCTGGCGGGACAGCCCCATCTCCAGCGCAGTCACTGGGAGGTAGTCATGGCGCTCGTAGGGGGTGCCGTTCCTGCGGCGGCCCCGAATGATCACGGGCACATGGGCGAGCCATTCCGTGAATTTGTCCTTGAAGAAGGCCTTGCCCAATTTGGTGACATGGTACTGGCCGTTGGCCTGGAGGGACCGCACGAGCTTTCGAGCACCCCCCCTGGTGAGGATGTAGTCATGGGGCCCGTCCCGAATGAGAGGCTTGGCGGCTCGGCGGGCGCCGGCCGGTGATGCTGTGGTAGAACTGCCCGGCGCGGGTCAGCTGACCGTTGGGGCGACTCAGAAGTGTGGACTGAAGGCGGCTGTCCCTCAGGGGCAGAACCTGCGAGCCTTGCGCTGAGATCCGTGGTCTGGCCCCAGCGTCGGCTGCACGTCGTATCGCTTCGCGTTGTTGCATCCACGACATGATTTCTAGGAGTCCACAAAAAAATGCTGGCCAGCTGAACGACACACCTTCCAGGAGGGACCCTGGTGAGACATCTGAGACATTGAGACAATTGACCCCGGGATGGAAGCACCTCTATATCCCGCTCAGGAGGGACCCTGGTGAGACATCTGAGACATTGAGACAATTGACCCCGGGATGGAAGCAGGGTGCCCTCTATGGAGGGACCCTGGTGAGACATCTGAGACATTGAGACAATTGACCCCGGATGGAAGCAGGGTGCCCTCTATGGAGGGACCCTGGTGAGACATCTGAGACATTGAGACAATTGACCCCGAAATAAAACACCTCTATATCCCGCTCAGGAGGGACCCTGGTGAGACATCTGAGACATTGAGACAATTGACCCCGGGATGGAAGCACCTCTATATCCCGCTCAGGAGGGACCCTGGTGAGACATCTGAGACATTGAGACAATTGACCCCGGGATGGAAGCAGGGTGCCCTCTATGGAGGGACCCTGGTGAGACATCTGAGACATTGAGACAATTGACCCTGGGATCGAGGCCATTTGTCTCAATGTCTCAGATGTCTCAGTGTCTCAAGGGGGGTCCCCCCGCAGCGGGGTGCAGGTCCTCGCCCCGCTGCTGGAGCAAATCGCCGTGGGCCCCCCCGGCGGCTCCGTGGGCCTGGTGGTGCGCAATGTAGCGCCGACGGGAGACGCCGAGATCCTGCTGGACTCCAACGCGCAGGCCGGCGTGGCGAACATGAGGGTGCTGTCGGGCGGCGGCTTCCAGATCAACGCCCTGGACCAGACGATCGCCCTGAACACCACGGCGGGCACCGCGAATCTGCTCATCGAGGCCAACACTGGCGGCGGCTCCGACGGGGAGGTGATCTGCTTCTACGGCTTCCAGAACCTCTCGGACGAGAGGCTCAAAACGAACGTCCGGCCGGTGTCGGAGGACGAGGCGCAGGAGCTCTTCGACGGCGTGGAGGCCAGGAGCTACGACCGCATCCACGGCGCCGCCGACCAGGTGGGCTTCGTGGCCCAGGAGGTGGATGCATCGGGTCGGCTGGGCAGCAAGGTCAGGACCTTCGACGACCGGGAGCTCATGACGCTGGACTACCAGCGGATGACGGCGGTCCTGTGGCAGACGTGCAAGAGGCTGCAAAAGAGGATCAAGAAACTGGAGAAGAAGAAGGGCCGCAAGGGCAACTCGGATTAGAAATGGCAGAAGCGGAAGCGATCGGGCTGCTCCAGCAGCTGGCACGGGACTTTAACGTAGGGATCCCAGAAAGCTCTATCAGATAGCCCGGCGGGAGTTCCCGGAGCGGCGGGACCTCACGAGTGCACGGGCCCAGGCGGCATTGCGCAGCGACGTGGCGCGGCAGGTGCTCGCACCGAAGCCGCGGAGTCTGGGCAAGAGTGCGGCGGAGGGGCCGAACGACCGCTTGCAAGCGGACCTGGTGGATTTCTCCCAGAACACGAGGGGGGCGAACAAGTACGGGCTTGTGGTGACGGATGTGTTCACCCGGGAGGTGGCCACGAAGGCCCTGCCCGACAAGTCGGCCCAGACGGTGACCCGGGCGGCCGCGGAGATCATCCCGGAATTGGTCCAGGACGAGTCGAATTACGTCGTCACCACGGATCTGGGAAACGAGTTCCGGGGGCTGGAGGCGGCGCTGCCCGGGGGCGTGGTGCACCGGCAGAAGGACCCGACGGATCGCAATGCGACCGCGGTGGTGGACCGCGCGATTCAGACGCTCAAGAAGGATCTGGCGGGCGAGGCGGGTGGGGCGACCACGTGGACGAAGCGACGGAGGCCTACAATGCCCGCCCGCACGCGGCGGTGACGGTGGCGCCTGAGGATGTGGAGACGATGCCTGCCGCAGGGTTTAGGGCCTACCAGGATAACGCGGCCAAGTTCAAGCACAACGACGAGCTGACGAGGAGCCGTCAGCGGCGGCTCGAGGAGGCGGGGGCGTTCCGGGCCCCCACCAATGCGGCGAGGAGCTTCCAGCCCCAGTACGGGGCGGTGCGGGAGGTTTCGAGCTACGACTCGATGACGGTGCGGGCCACCGACGGTTCGGAGACCCTGCTGAAGCATGCGCTCCCGGCTCCGCGGAGCCTAAGGCTCGGCTGACTCGGCGACCGGTGCCACTGGCGGTGCGGCAGCTTCGAGACTTCAATCCCGGACCCACGGCGCCCCCCTGAGACACTGAGACATGTGAGACATCTGAGACGTCGGGTGGTTCGGGCTCACCGGGACCCCCCTGAGACACTGAGACATCTGAGACATTGAGACATCTGAGACGTCGGGTGGTTCGGGCTCACCGGGACCCCCCTGAGACACTGAGACATCTGAGACATTGAGACATCTGAGACGTCGGGTGGTTCGGGCTCACCGGGGCCCCCCTGAGACACTGAGACATCTGAGACATTGAGACAAATGGCCTTGATCCCGGGGTCAAGTGTCTCAATGTCTCAATGTCTCACCAGGGTTCCTCCTGGGGAGGATATGGTGGACACCCTGCCTTGATCCCGGGGTCAATTGTCTCAATGTCTCAATGTCTCAGCGGGGTCCTCCTGGGGAGGATATGGTGGACACCCTGCCTTGATCCCGGGGTCAATTGTCTCAATGTCTCAGCGGGGTCCTCCTGGGGAGGATATGGTGGACACCCTGCCTTGATCCCGGGGTCAATTGTCTCAATGTCTCAATGTCTCACCAGGGGTCCTCCTGGGGAGGATATGGTGGACACCCTGCCTTGATCCCGGGGTCAATTGTCTCAATGTCTCGATGTCTCAGCGGGGTCTTCCTTTGGGATCAGAGAGCATCGCATCGGCGAGCATCCAGAGCATCAAAAAAGAAATGAGGTTCAGGCTAGGGTGCGGGACGGCAACCAAAAAAAAAGCTAGACCGGCCCTACCTAAACCGGGGACGTCCCCCCTAGCCGGTAACCTTACACACACACTGTGCCACGCAGGGACGATGCAGGGCAGCCTAGTCGGGCTAGGGGTTCTAGGGGGTTCGGGGATCGAGAGGTTCGGGCGTTAAGGTAACCGGGCCAACCGACAAGACACACGCGCACTTGCAGGGCAGCCTAGTCGGGCTAGGGTTCTAGGGGGTTCGGGGTACGAGGGTTCGGGGCTTAGGGACAACCGGGAAACCCTCAACATGCACTCTGCGGGCCGCGACCGGTGTTCGAATGGACCTGCTCGGCAGCTGCTTCGAAACATAACGAAAGGAGCACTCCTGTTGGGCCTCGTCCGTGACTTCTCCTCGGATGGACCTGCTCGGGAGCTGCTTCGAAACATGACCACGCGAACGCTGTGTGGCCTCGTCTTCTTCTGCATCGGGTCCGGCCCGCCCGCCCGGTCCCAGGTAACAAAGAGCCGCTGACCACTGAGCGCGGAAGTACACTCAGCCCTCAAGCATGCTGCGCTCACAGAACGACATGCGGACAATTGCACTCCACGGTCTTCGGTGGTCTTTTTTGACACTCCTGTCGATGCTGTGCGAGGTCGGCCGATCTGCCCCGTCGCGGCGTCCCCTGTGCACTGGGATCTTCCGAGACTGGCCAGACCGGGCCCTAGCCCCCCGGTCGCCCTCCTTGCCCCACTCAGCCCTTTTCCACGCATTTAGGGTTTCCAAACAGAGATTGTTTACAAATTTGAAATATTGCTTGTAAGGCAGACTTAAAGGGTTTTTTACTGCATGTATGTGTTGAACCGGCCCTGACCCTAAGTCTTCTAGGCATCTAGATACGATGCTGTCTGACTCTAAGTAACCAAACAGGTGTGCAAGGAGGGTGGACCATCCGAGCTCATCCGCTGCTCTCGGCGGCGGTCGACTGTGTCGGCTCCTTGCCACCGCAGGGCACTCACAGGGCAGCCTAGTAAGGTTCAGGGTTCTGAAGGATTCGGGCGCTGAGGGGCCGGACTTAGGGATAACCGGGGACCTGCACGACACGAGAGCTTAATCTAAACGTGGTGTGGCCAGGAATTAGTGACATCTTTGCTGCAGTCATCTAGTTCACTACAGCAGTGACCTAGATCGCTACTGCTGCCGATCTAAGCCCGCCACTTGCAGCAAAACTGACCACACCGAAGACTGGCATGATGCACATCGCAAACCTTGACATGTGAAACTGAGAGAGACCGTGCAAAAGGATGTGCAGAGCTAGATGGGGCCTGCACAGCACTGATTCTCCGATACAAATCACATCACCCGGCCTTTCAAGTCCGTCGCGGCAAAAAGCCGTAGCAATCTTGCCTAGCAGTGATGCCGTCATGCGGAAGTTGAATGGAAGATCACGGAGCCGAGGGTTGGGCTCGCTGGTGTCCTGGCGCAGTGAGGTCGATGAGAATTTGACGAGTTGCCACTCTCCAGCCTGCCAGCATCGGAGGCTAGGGGAAGGATCCAACAGAAAAGGCAGTCTGGGGCTCCGCGCTTCTTGTGAGTACAGGTAGATGTCGATTTGATCAGGATCAACGTTTCGTAGGGCGTTAGACTTCATCTGCTTGATGGCCTCGTGACTTGCACAAATGTCGGGACGGGCAGCAAAGGAAGCATGCCGAGGCCGGGGCTTTCTTCAAGTGGTCCACATCATTGAGGCGCGGGTAGTCCTGCTGAAATGCAGCCACCAAATTCCACTTCACATGGCACGGCGACGATGGCCTGAGGGGACTCCACTTTGAACGCCGGCTCGAGCTCATCCTCGCCCTCAGGGTCTTGACGAGACCTTATCTGCGCAGAGGCGCTGCTCCCAAAACGACCGGCAGTCCGAATCCTCCTTGGGCCTCAGCTTGGCGGCGACCGTCCCATCCTGCGCGGCGAGCGGTGTCGAAACTCCCAGCCCCGAACCACCTCCCGAAGCCCCTCCCCGACGTGTCATGCTCCGCCCCTGCCGACGCTCAGAAACACTCCAGCAATCCGGAGCCCAGCCCATCCCCCACGCCCCGCGCCCCGCGCCCCCACCAAGCCCGGCCAAGAACTCCACCACAGGGCTAACACCGTGTGTGCTCACAACAGTGTCCTTGTTCGGGGCCACCTCCCGCACCCAGACGACGGATGAGGTTGAGGTTCGGCCTGCAGAACCCCGCAGAACGACGTGCCAAGGTAGAAACCACAGCCGTGCATAAGTCATGCAAATGTTAACCCTGCGGATGCCTGCAAGTTGTTGCTCCAATCTGTCCACCTTCACTCTTGCCTGGTTTGCCTCTTCTCTTGCCTCGTTTGCCTCTGCTCTTGCCACGCTTGATTCTGCTTTGGCCTCGCTTGCAATCTCCAATGCTGCGGGCAACGCACGGTCTGGTTGCAAAAAAGCAATGTGCAACTTGCCCTTCTGCAGCAACTCCTGCACGTAGGTAAGACCCAGTGTGTCCAGCACGCTCTGTATGTCTATCTGCAGAGCCGCGCGATTGAACACAATCGCATAGCCAGTCGAGTCTGGATCAAGTTGCTGTGCTTTCAAGCCACGCGGTTCATCATTGACCAAGAACCCGCAACGCTCAACTAAGCGGCATTGGATCTCGATCTGCAAAAGTTTCATTGCGACAAGACGACTGTCCGAACAAGCTTCCACCAGAACACAGGTGGTGCCTGCGTAGGTCGCAAGAACTAAAGCGTCAGTCACCTGGTTGAGCTTGCTCAGCAATTCACCAAAGCTACCATGGAACACCGCGTCAATCTCAGCTTCCTCTTCACCGACACCTCTTGCTAGCACTCTTTGCCCAGCGTTGTCTGACACACGTTCTCGCAGGAAAGCTGCAACGTTTTCTTTGAGCTGTTCTACTTGTGTTCGCTCATCGGGCCCTTGTTGTCTGACAGCTTTGAGTTTGCGGCTAAGGCCATTGATGACGCTAGCAACTAGGCCTTCATACTGACTGCCGCTCTGCTGGCTGATGCGACTGTCTGAAAAAGCTGCGGGATGGCCAGCCTTATCCAGCATGCAGTATGCTCTATCAAGCCGTTCTCGACTTGGTGCAACATGCTGCTGCTGAGAATGCTGCGCAAGCCCCCAATCTTGCTGGCTTCCCGCATTCCCCCCAATCTTGCTGGCTTCCCGCATTCCAACATCCCTGGTCCCAGGACCACTGCGGCGAATGATGTGCCATGGCAGTTGTTGCTACAACGCGGAAACACTGCAACAGTGTAGAAATCTTAACATGGCAACTGCAATACGGTGACTTGTATCCGCGTGAGGCCTTCAGAAAATAGCACACTGGGCCCAAGCTGCGAGCAAACGCATTGTGGGTGCGGCGTTGATATACGAGGTCTGCCCGTTGATCTCCTAACGGAGCTTGGTGGTCTCATTGAGCTTGTCGAGAACTGCCTCTGCTGACAAGTATGGAATGTTGATCAAGACGCCACCTTCATCCATGATTTTTCTCGCGTCATCGAACACTCCCAGCCTCCCGCCCCTCCCCTCCCCCACGATCAGACGTGTGCCACTAAGCGGGCATGCCGCATGCTCCGCCCCTGTCGACGAGCGTCCGAGACACACTGGAGCCCAGATCCCAACAGCTTCGTGCCCCAACCTGCGTTCAGCTGAATGCTACTGATGCTCTCGGTCAGCCTTGCGCTCCATTACCGGCACTTGGTCTCACACAGCGGATAACTTGACGATGTCGTGCTGCGCCGTGCGCCAATCGATGGCAAATCCAAAAGTGGAATTACTCAAACTGGGGGCTTCTACTGCGTACAGGAAGCTTGAAAAGAACGATGTTGAGGGAACAAAAACAGCCATGCCGACAGGGCAACCGTCGCTCTTAAGGAACACCGTTGTGCCACCCGTGAAGCTGTGCTCGGCATCCAATATACAGTGCGACCACTTACTCAACGAAGCCGTGCACCTGGGGCAATCCCGCCCGCCTGTTCCGCACACCCTCCTTTGCCAGTGGTAGACCATCATCCGCGTGCAGGGCAGGGAGAGCGAGTACGGCGGCCACAAGGCGACGCCACATGGCTGCTCACAAGCACTGAGGCTGCGCTATCGCGGAACTTCACTTGTCCAGCTTGTGGTGTTTTGTGGGGCCAACGGGGCCGGCACCGAAACAAATCCCATGTGTGACGATTTTCCAACATGCGCTCTGCAAGAAACCAAAGGAGAGTGGCAGATAAGACTCTGATTGATTCGCACATAGAACTACACTGCATGGCACCGGGGGCAACGCGAAGAAAACGACAAACGCCAGTGTGGAAAAAGCATGAAAAAGCAAAAGCTTGCCCTGACCGAAACTGGCCTCACTGGGATTCAAGAACACTGCCCGAGCCTTCCAGAACTGCTCAAGAACAAGTCCACCCAAACTGCTTTTTGGGAACGGGAGAGTGCTCAATCATGGGCTAAATGTGCCAAATGACCACGTAGACTTCGAACCCCATGAAGCACAACACCATGCTTTGTGGAACATTTGAGCTTGTGAAATACTTTTCTTGGAGGGGAGGTTTAGAGGCAAGGTGCCTGGGGCCGCAGGTTGAGCCGAGCTGTACAACGCCGCACACGCAGCGGAAGTACGCTTCATATCTTCAGAGTGGCCCTGCTTCAGAGCCCCCAGACGTTCGAAGATGCCGCGACGGCGGGGGGCGACGACGGCGGGCGACGGCAAACGGCGGGGGCGGGCACAGCGACGCGGACGACGGGCGACGACGGCGACCCGGCGAGGATGCACGGCTAGGACGCTCGATGTCGCACTCGGCTCGGACGATGAGCTCACGACGCTCGGCTCGGACGACCCTGCGACGACGGTGACGGCGGCGGTGACAGTAAGTTTGAAGGCATGGCCAATTGCGAGAGATGGGGTGCTGCGGGGTTAGGGCGGCAAAGCAAGATCAAACCTACTGCGGTGACCGAAAAACCACACCCAAAAACAACAACACACGAAAGCACTCAAACAAAATGGTACTGCGAAAGTCGGCGAGACCAACGAAACTACTGACTACAAAGCAAAAACTAGCATCACCGAAGAAAAAATCCATCGCTCCAAGCAACAACCGCTTGCCAAAAGAGGGGCGAGACAAGCGAGACATTGAGACAAAATCCCTTCTACCAGCCCGGGCCCCCCGGAGAGACGAGGGAGGCAAGCGAGACATTGCGAGAACTGTTTTGTTTCGTGGTGTCGCTTGTCTCAGCAGGTCTGTCCCAATCGGTGCTCATCATCGTAAACCCCCGCGGATCCGGTCGACGATCTGTGGCTTGCGAGCAAAAATCGTGCACTCACTTTCTCGGGGCTGGCTGTGTCGCTTTTGGCCGGCGGGCCCAGAACATGCGCTCAACGTGAGCGGGGTTCATGCAAAAAATCGGGGCCGCGGCAGGCCCGTGATGCCCGGCGATTCTGTGTGGCTGTGTTCGACCCATCCTAAACCCTCCCCGACGCCCCGGAACGTGGCTGGCACCGATTTGACAGAGAAAGTGCGATTCGGCAGACATCGTGCTCAAAACCCAGGCGGGGGGAAGCCCGAAATCGGGGATGGACCGTGGCGTGGTCGGCTCGCAAAACGGCCGGCCGCCGGGGGCCGTCGGGGCGCACCCTCCCCGGGCGGCTTCAAAATCCAACAAAATTGGGGTGCGGCATGGTGTTTTAGGGGCATGCGCGTTTTTGGTGATAAATGTCGTCAATGTCAAATATGGAATTGGCGTGCCACAATATCGTGGAGGAGCCCACCGAAGCCAACCTGGTTAGGCTGTTGGACCTGTGGTCGGCGGAATGGAGGCATCAAGTGCGCACCCGTGTCGTAGGGCCTGGAGCGTTCGAGAAGTACTGCACGCTGGGCTTCTTCGGGCACGGCGGAGGGTGTGGTGTATCCAACGCAACGAGCAAGCGAGCGGCTTGCACTGCAGTGAACCGTTTCTTGAAGAGTCGCTTTCCGAACGGCACCTGGACCTCCATCGCCGTGCTTTTCAACCCTCGCATGGGCCTGCACCGCGACATTCAGAACATGCCAGGGCACTTGAATCATGCTTTGGCTCTCGGCGATTACACCGGGGGGCGGGTGTGGATCGAAGACGACCAGGGCGACTCTACCGCGCTGCTGGCCGGCAAGAAGGGCGACCGGGAGCTGCGGGGACGATGGCTGGACATGCACGACAAGCCCGTTAGCTTCAATGCTCGCCGATATCACATGGTGGAGCCACACCAGGGCAGCATGTGGGCTCTCGCAGCTTATGTTCCGCAAGCCTACGCTCGCTCGACTGAGCAGCACCGAGAGGCGCTGAGAGAAGCGAGCTTTCCCTTGCCTGCTTGAACAAGTCTCTTGCCACAGAAAAACGAGAGAGACAAAGAGACATTGAGACAACCGGTTGTCTCATTGTCTCAGTTGTCTCAACGGGGCTTTTGCTCTCTCTGGGGAGGGTGTTCCAGCACTCCACTCTGTGATAGCTACAGGCCTCAGTTCAAGACATGGGTCAGAATTCGGTACTTTGGACACAGTCGATTCGCGGGCCTACGGCCCGCAGCTCGGACGATCTTAGGGGCTCTAAAGTCTTTTGCAAAACGAGCTTTAGGGGTGCTTTTCGCGCGCAGCAAGGCAACTTAAGAGCTACTTGCTGGCAACTTACGAGCACTCGCCAGCAGCTTACGAGCTACTTGCTGGCAACTTACGAGCACTCGCGAGCACTCGGCCGCAGCTTACGAGCTGCTTGCTGGCAACTCGAGCCAGCAGCTTACGAGCTGCGTTTGAGTTGCTCTCGCGCCCCCTCCGCGCCAAACGAGCTCGGGGACCTTCCCAGCCCAAAGCCGGCTGAGACATTGAGACTTTTGAGACAACCATAAGGTTGCTCCACCGCCTCCGTTGTGTCATCGCCTCCACCAATTTGCTTTTGACAATCGGTTCTGGAGGCTCCGGACCGGAGTGGCCTGAGGCGGCGGCCAAGGCGATGCAAAAGAGGGTGAAAGCGGTGCAGTGCAGCTGTGCCTTCGCAGTCCTCTTGGAGTTGGGGTGACGAAAGAATGTGGGGCGAGATGGAAGTAGGGGTGCGGGAGTCGAGCACTCCAGGCCACCGACAGCCTTTGTGGCCATAAGGTGGAATGGCCCATCGAGTGCTGGGGTAACCCGGACCAAGGTGGGACGGAGTCTCTTCTGCCGGCAAGTCGAGCACAGAAAAATCGGACCCGCGTATTGCAGAAACAAAAAAAAGATCGTGTTTGAAATGCTTAAGCTGGATTTAAGCACAAGCCATAGAGACGCTGTTTGTTGGCCGAAATTTCCGACAGAGCAGCTCAAACTTTGAAAGCTTTGATCCACAGGCACATTGTTGCTGTAGTTGTTCACAGACAAGTCCAAGAGTTTGCTTTGCTGTCCAAGCCGAATTCAGGCTTTATCCACCGTGGTGTCAACCACGGGCGAAAGAAGAGAAACGATTTTCAGAAAAGAGGAATGACCTGTGACTGGTATCGCGTTCGTTCTGTTGCACAGCACACTGGGTTAGCTTTCTTTGTTGGCACCGGTAGCAATGACGTTAGGACTTGCTGCAAAAGGTTGAGCTGAGAGGCATGCCGGAAGTTGTGCCTCTGCTTCAATTTCTTTTTGCTCTCTGAGTCTGTGCGAGCGTCAAATCGGGTTTTTTTCAAAAAAAAAACTTTTGCAAGCAAACACCATTCTTTCCAATGCTTGGATTAGAAGATGATTGTGGCTACTGTGGGGGTGCTACAGTAGATGGAGCCCAGATCTGCACTTCCTTCCCGGACTCTATCGAGTGACCTGGAGGAGCGTATTCATCGAGCTCTGCGCGCGTCGACTACCACGCCAAAGGCCCAAGGCCGGGCCAAAAGCCGCGCCAATCGGCGCAGACTTGGACAGGTTCATGAGGTCGCTGAAGGCTGTCCAGCTTTGCAAGGCAGTCCGAAGAGCCAGCAGCGCAATCCGAGGAGCCGGTGGTTGCAGAGCTCAGCGAGCCGGTGGTTGCAGAGCTCAGCGAGCCGGTGGTTGCGCAGCCCAGCGAGCCGGTTGCAGAGCCCAGCAAGCCGGTTGCAGATCCCGGCGAGCTGCTCTGGGGAGGGTGTTCCAGTTCCCTACTCTGTAGTAGCTACGAGGCTAGTTTCGAGACATAGCCTAGAATTCCATACTTCGAAGGCCTGTCGATTTTGCGGGCTGGAGGCTCTAGGGCTCGCGATCTTAGGGGCTCTAAAGTGCTTGCAAAACGGGCGCGCGCGGCATCGGAGGCGCTTTGAAGGCGCGCGGAGGGCTCGCGAGCTGTTTGGAGGCGCTCCGTCGTGCTCCGGAGCTGTTTGGGAGCGACGCGCGCTTACGCGCGCTCGTTCGGCGCGGAGGGCGTGCGGAGGGCTCGCGAGCTGGTTGGAGGCGCTCCGTCGTGCTCCGGAGCTGTTTGGGAGCGACGCGCGCTTGCGCGCGCTTGTTCGGCGCGGAGGGCGTGGGAACAGCTCGAAAGTAGCTCGTAAGCGCCGGCGAGTGCTCGTGAGTTGCCAGCAAGTAGCTCGTGAGCTCCTGCGCAGGGCGCTCGAAGAATTTTCAGGGCTGTCAGTCAATTTGACCGACAGGTTGTTGCGAAATTTCCCGAGCGAGTGCTCTTAAGTTGCCAGCAAGTAGCTCGTCAGTTGCCAGCAAGTAGCTCGTAAGCTGCTGGCGAGTGCTCGTAAGTTGCCAGCAAGTAGCTCGTGAGCTGCTGGCGAGCACTCGTCGGCTGCTGGCAAGTGGCGCGCCCTTAAAGTTCCTTTAAAGCCCGTTTTGCAAAGACTTTAGAGCCCCTAAGATCGTCGGAGCTGCGGGCCGTAGGCCCGCGAATCGATAGTGCTCCAAAGTACCGAATTCTACCCTATGTCTCGAACTGAGGCCTGTAGCTATCACAGAGTGGAGAGCTGGAACACCCTCCCCAGAGAGAGAAAAAAATCCTCCGGGCCCGGCCCCGTACTGGTTAGCTCGGCAGCGGAAAGCCCGCTTCTCTCAGTGCCTCTCGGTGCTGCTCGGTTGCCCGAGCATAGGCTTGCGGAACGTAAGCAGCGAGAGCCCACATGCTGCCCTCGTGCGGCTCGACCATGTGATAGCGGCGAGCATCAAAGCTCACTGGCTTATCGTGCATGTCCAGCCACCGCCCCCGGAGCTCTTGCTCCCCCTTCTTGCCGGCCAGCAGTGCGGTAGAATCCCCTTCGTCGTCTTCGATCCACACCCGTCCTCCTGTGTACTCGCCCAGAGCAAGCGCATGATTCAAGTGCCCGGCCTTGTTTCTAATGTCACGATGTAAGCCCATGCGTGGATTGAAGAGCACGGCGATGGAGGTCCAGGTGCCGTTCGGAAAGCGGCTCTTGAGAAAGCTGTTCACGGCTGCACAGGCTGCCCGCAGGCCCGTGGCATTGGAGACCCCGACCACGCCGCCGTGCCCGAAAAGCCCCAGCGTGGCATATCGCTCATAGGCCCCCGGCCCCACCGCCCGAGTGCGACCCCGGTGCTTCCAGTCCACCGACCACAGATCCAGCAACCGCACGAGGTTAGCTTCGGTCGGCTCCTCCGTGGCGTTCCGGCACGCCAAATCCATTTTTTACATTGACAGCATTTATCACCAAAAACACCCATGCCCCTAAAACACCATGCCGCACCCCAATTTTTCGGGATTTTGAAGCCGCCTGGGGAGGGTGCGCCCCGACGGCCCCGGGCAGCCGGCCGTTTTGCGAGCCGACCACGCACCGGCGAGAGCCCGATTTCGGAGTGTCCCCCGCCTAGGGTTTGAGCACGATTTCGGCCGGATCGGGCCTTTCCTGTCAAATCGGTGCCGGCAAGCCCCGGAACGTGGTCGGGGAGGGTTTAGGATGGGTCGAACACAGCCACACGGAATCGCCGAACATCACGGAACCGCCGCGCCTCCGATTCTCGGGGTGCGCCCTGCCTATGTTTCACACACCCTGCCGGGCCCGCCGGCCAAAAGCGACACAGCCAGCCTCGAGAAGGCCCGCGCATGACCCAAAGGGCTTTGCCGGGCCGTTTCACACCAAACTGTGGCGAGAGCGCGATTTCGGTGGGTACGTCCCCCAGGTTTGGCTCAAGTTTTCGTGGCCTCGGCCGCTCAGTGTCGATTCGCGGCGAGCCTGTGGCCGCCGTCGACCTGATCCGTGGGGGTTTAGGATGCTCACCGATGCTCGCCGGCCCTTTGCTCGCTGATGCCTTTTTGTTTTTTATTTTGTAGTGGTATTCTAGCTAGGCCCGCCGACTTTTGCAGTAACATTTTGCTAGAGTGCTTTTGCCGGGGTTGCTTTTGGTTTGGTTCAGGGCACCCGAACCCCTTCGGCCCCCGCAGTAGGCTTTGCTCCCCGTCTGCCCTGCAAGAGCCCTGCGTCCCCAACCCGTATACCTCACCCGGCGTCCCTGCATTCAGGTTTTGTTTCCGCGCCGCGGTCCACCAGCTAGGGTGCACATGGTTCGCGGGCAACACAGCACATCAGCCCAGCAGCGCGGCAGCATGCAGGCAGCACAGCAGGCAGCACAGCAGGCAGCACAGCATCGCGGAAGCGGCACACGTAGACATGAGAGCGAACAGCATGGATGCGCGGGTCGCGATTGAGATGTATGACGACCAGATCATGGAGGTTCCAGTCAATGGGGCTTGGTGGAGCACACTCAGCCAGCAAGAGCTTCTTGGCAACAGTAAGGCTGGGTAAGTTGGTGTCGGCAGTTGCCACGTCTCGTAGTCTTTCGGTGTCTCGAAACTTCATCTCTGAGGCAGCTCGTCTTCGCCGTCAAGTGTCAGGAGGCGTATCGCAAGGCCAAGACGGAGGGCTCTGCAAACAATGGAGTGATGCAGCTCCCGATTGCCTTCTGCGATTGCCTCCCCCAGCCACCGGTGGCTGACGACGCTGCAGCAGGCGAGAACGACAAGGCCGAAGGCTCCAAGAAGAAGAAAAAGAAGAACAAACGCAAGGCGAAAGGCGAGAAGCAGGACGACGAGCCCATGGCCGAGGGCGAGAAACAGAGCCGCAGCAGTGCCAGCGGCTTGATGGAGATGGACTAGCACGTGATTCAGAAGCGCTACTATGACCGCGTTGCTGGCTTGAAGAACTGGCATTTCGGCTGGTCCTAGATCCAGAAAAGCTGGTGCTCCTCTGCGCCTTTTGTAGGCCCAGCAGTTCGAAGAGAGGGGTGAGTTTTTAAAAGTGCGTTGCGTGGTTTTCCCCATTACCCCCCTAAGCCCCGGGTGCCCTATCCTGTTAGGTGTTCAGGGCTTCCCTAACCCTTTCTGCCCCTCCGGTAGGGTGTACCCCATCTGCCCTGCGAGTGAGTGCGCTTCTGTGTGAGGTCCCCAACCCCGTAGACCCTCCCCTTCGGCCTTGCATTGATTTCTCTTTTGCCGCGCTCGCTTTCTCAAGGAGTGTGGGATAGGGGCGGGGTAGTTGCGGGCGGTTGGGCGGGTAGGTGGGCTTGCGTCGGGACCTCAGTTTGCTTGGGTTGTTTCGGTGTTCGGGTCTCCCCTTCCCTAACCCTTTTGGTTACCCTAGGCTGCCTGTCACGGCCCTGCCTTGCTGCGCGCGTCTGTGTCCCGGTAGTCTCGAACCCCTTTTCCCTCGCCCGACCCGCCCAGGTCCGGACCTTCTTCGCCGGCGTGGTGCTCCCAGGGGTTCTTCGGGGTTCGGGGGTTGTTCTGATGTTGTGCGGGCTTGGTGTCGTGCGAGTGCAGGAGTGCCCGTCGCTGCCCCTTCCCACCTTAGAGTGCCCTGCATTCCCCATTCCCGGGAGCCCCGGCCCCTCCTTCTTCGCCCAGGTTGGAATCTCCGGCGAGCGTCTTCGCCGACTTCGAAACGTCTGGAGCCCTGTTGCCTCTTTGAAGTCGGCTGGTTGGCATGTTTGGATGCTTTGGATGCTGGACAGCATTGGGGCCCGACTGCCAGTAGGCTTAGCGCCGACGCATGCCTGCAGAGCACGACGTTCAGATACTTGGTTCATGTGGCTAGCTGGTAATACCACGAAGCTATCATCTGTTGCCATGGTTCGCGTCGTATCACTGAGCGGGCGAGAGGTCGACGTCCGCTGGGGTCCCGAGGACACCTTGGGCGATATCGCCGAGAAAGCCAGAGTGGCACTCGGCACCTGCCGCGGACGGCTTCTCCTCGGCACCGACGTCCTCGACTTCGACAGCAAGATGAAGGATGTGGGGGATGGAGTCCTGACGTTCCAGTCAATTTTGCCCCGCACGCTGGCGAGTTTGAGGGCATACACGATCCTGTACGGCGACGGCACCGCGGAGGCGGTGGGGGACCCTGATCTCGGTGGCCGAGGTGGCGCGCAGGGGGTGAAGGCGGTGCAGTGCACCTGCCAGGCCTTTGCAGCCCTCTTGGATAATGGATCGGTCGTGGCTTGGGGACAGGAACTTGCCGGCGGCGATGCGAGTGCAGATTTTTACGAGGAAGACATCGTGCAGATCCAATCCACCGACACCGCCTTCGCGGCCATAACGATCGACGGCGCGATCGATTGCTGGGGTAACCCGTGCACAGGCGGGTTGGGGCCCCTTCAGCCTGGCGATGATGGTGAACCTGTACGGCTTGACGTGGAGGGAGTGATCGCCATCCAGTCCACTGAGCGCGCCTTCGCCGCGATTCTCAATGATGGCAGCGTCGTGGCCTGGGGTGATGAAAATGCGGGCGGCGACAACCGCCTGGTCCTACCGGCGCTGAAGAATGTCGTGAAGATCCAGGCGACGGAATCGGCCTTCGCGGCCATTATGGCCGACGGTAAGGTGTCTTGCTGGGGTGACCCGGAAGCAGGTGGCGACGGCTTCTGGTCCGAGGATGGGGAGGACCTGTGCGGGGTCGTCGACGTACAGGCCACCCGAGCTGCCTTCGCCGCAATCACGTCCAGCGGCTCCGTGTACGCCTGGGGTCACGAGGCGGCTGGAGGCGACCTGGGTGGCCGCGTCATCACGGACGCCGTGGCCATCCAGGCAACAGACAAGGCCTTTGCCGCGATCCTGAAGGATGGCTCCGTGCGGGCCTGGGGCCATGAGGAATGCGGTGGAGACTGCGAGGCCGTGCGGGACCGCTTGGTGAAGGTCCGAGAGATCCAGGCCAACGACGCGGCCTTCGCGGCCATCTTGGAAGACGGCTCCGTGGTGACCTGGGGCGATGCCGACTTTGGTGGCGATGGGCCGTCATTGCAGAACGTGAGGTGCATCCAGGCCTCGGCAGAAGCCTTTGCAGCAATCCTGTATGATGGCTCCGTGGTCACCTGGGGGGTTGCCGCGGTGGGAGGAGATAGCAGTGCAGTACAGCATCAGCTGCGGGACGTCGTCCATGTGAGTGCGGGTATGGGCTTCTTTGTAGCAACTTTGGGCGATGGCACCACCGTACATTGGGGTGCGATCTGAATCCCCTGGCATGGCAACGGCGCCACGGTACAGAGGCGGCGCCTGCCGGTCGAGTTAAAAGAAGTGCCCTGTGCTGCAAGTTCGAGAGCCTGCAGCCCCGAGAGTCCTGCCCTCTTGCTCTGCCCAGGTCTCTTCGGCGCGGCGCCTGGACCTTGTCTGTGTCGCCTCTTGAAGTTCGGTATGCTTGTGAATGGCTGATCTAAATGAATCACTCCCCCTCGCTCCCAGGCCTGGAGTCTTCGGCACGGCTCGCGACGGCTTCGCGCCTCGCCTGGGCCCTGGTGCTCTCTTTGCTGCCTCTTCGAAGCCGGCTGGTTGGCATGTTGTCGGCGTTTCGTAGCATTTTGCTTGCAAGCATCCATAGCGGCCGTAGCTGTGGGCGAAGGGTTGCCGACCTGGAGGATGAGCAGCGAAGCTCGGGCGCTGGCTGTGAAGCTTGCGCTTAGCCCAACGCACCGAATGGGCGAACGATGTGGATTCAGGATCTTTCCAGGAACCGCACAGAGCTGCTATAGGCAGATGTTGCGCTTGATTCACCCTGACAAGTGCAGTGACCCGCGAGCCACCGAAGCCGTCAAGGAGCTGCAGAGCTTCGAGCCCTGCCTGAGCAACAGCGATCCGGAGTCGCTTCGCCAGCAACCGATGAGTGATCTGGAGACTCTTCTGGATCAAGCGATACAGCCCGAGCTGAAGCAGTCCGGAGAGCCGGAGCCATCACAGCCGGCCTCGCAACTGCAGCCGGCCGCAACCGGCTTCGTCCTTGAAGTGGGAGCTTTCGGAAGGGGCTCCTCTGCTCCTGCAGTGCCCGCGGTCCGCAAGGGCGTCCCGAAGCCGAAGGCCGCGTCGTCTGGGGCAAGTTTGGATAGGTTCATTAAGCAGATGAAGGCTGTGAACGCTGCTGCCAAGGCTGCAGCGCCCAGCGTTGCAGTGCCGCCCAGCAAGCCGAAGGTTGCAGAGCCCAGCGAGCCGAAGGTTGCATTCAGCGAGCCCGCGGTTGCAGAGTCCAGCGAGCCGGAGGTTGCACAGCCCAGCGAGCCCGCGGTTGCAGAGTCCAGCGAGCCTGAGGTTGCACAGCCCAGCGAGCCGGTTGCACAGCCCAGCGAGCCGGTTGCACACAGCGAGCCGGTTGCACACAGCGAGCCTGAGGTTGCACACAGCGAGCCGGTTGCAGAGCCCAGCGAGCCGGTTGCAGAGCCCAGCGAGCCGGTTGCACAATACAGCGAGCCGGCGGAGGAGGCATCAGCCGAGCCGGAGCCCTTCATGAACGGGAAGCTGGGTGAGCCGCTCAAGGAGTACAGGGACCACGTGGTGGCGAAGCAAGACTTTGAGCACTACGGCCCGGACTGCCCGCTGGAGGAAGTCCGACGCTTCCGGGAGTGCCTCTATCGCGACGAGAAGGACGCGGCGAACTTCAACCCCTACTGGGTCGTGCTGGAGTTCCCCACTCGCACTGGTGTGGGGCCGCTGCCAGAGTGGAACGGCGCGATGGCCTTCTGTCTTCGCGAAGGCGATCCCACGAACTTCATGCTCGTGAGCAAGAACAAGGGCGTCGCGGTGCGGGCCGAGAACGTCTTCAAGGTGAAGAAGGACTGCCTGCCCCCGCTGTTCTCCGCGATCCTCCAGGCCGGCTGGCAGCGGGGCAACATCCGCATCTTCGACAAGGGGGCCTACTACCAAGCCAAGGACCAGGACGCGGCGGAGTTTTCCCCACGGGCGGCGCTCCGAAGCCTGGAGCACCTCGACCCCGTCGGCTACATGTCCCACATGGCCAAGCTGGAGGACCGCTTCGGAGGCGACACGGCCCTGCGGACTCGCAAGCGCAAGGCCACGACCGAGGATGAGTACATCTACGTGCAGCGGGAGGCCCTCAACAAGCTCCGCAAGGCCGTTGATGAGGAAAAGGAGGCCAAGGCGATGCTGGCGAAGTCCACGCTTTCCATCGCAGACTTCAACTACGAGACCTGCCAGTGCTGGTATTGGGACGAGCCGAGTGGCTGCAAGAAGTCCGTGCCCTTGGACGAGGCCGTCGCCACCGCCATCCAGACGAGGAGAACCATAGTGCTTTACGGGCCTCCAGGTCGAGGCAAATCGCCCTTCGCCAAGGCACTGGCCGGCTGGTACATGCAGCACGTCCTGGGTGGCAAGATCGACGAGATGATCTTCACCGGCACCGTGGACAGCCTCCGCAAGGCGTACCAGTTCAACCTGCTTCAGGGCGGGCGGCCCCTGGTTTTCGATGATCTCCTTGCCAACCGGCAAAACGTGGGGAGCCAAGGAGGAGGGCCGGACTTTGTGAAACAGCTCTTGGGCATCTCCCGGGATGATCGAGCGACTCTCCAGAGTCGCTACGCAGATATGCAGATCCCACAGGATTGCCTGAGAATCATCACGGTTCAAGATGTCGACAAGGTGCACCCGGGGCTCCAGGTCATGCACAGCGCCACGGAAACCCACATCCCCAAGGAGTTCTGCGGGGACTTGCATGACATGCCCATCAAGGAGTATTTCGACGTGGACCGCCGGGCAATCCTCAAGAGGATGGTCGCGATCTTCGTCCCCGATGGCATCCTGAAAGGCGAGGTGCTGGGTGGCCGCGTCGAGTCTGATCAGGAGAACATCGCCAGGCTGCGGGAGCTCTGGAGTAAGACCGTCGGCTGAAGCCGCGGCTGGCACAGCGGTCAGTACAGGACCCCAGCTGTGCCCTTAGGGCCTCAGGGCCTGCGCGTTCGGCGCAGCTCCGTACAGGATCCGCTGCCGCGCCCGTGCAAACAGTTTCGCAGCTTCAAGCCTTGTGTGCCGTGTTGTAGGATGCTGCAGGTCGCTTCTGTGCTTTTTTAGCTCCGTCACTCTGATCCCCTTCGCCTCGCTCAGGTTCGAACCTGCGTCACTGTGCTGGTGCCTCTGTTCAGGGTTTTTTCGGACTTTGCGATTGTGGGGGTTGTTGTTCCGTGCGCGCACAGGAGGGCCCTGCACTGCTTCCCCCATCCCGTAAAGCTAGAGTGCCCTGCGACCCCGGCCCTGTTCCCGGGAACCCCGGGCCCCTGGCCCCTCCACAGGTTCGCGGATGGTTGCGCTTCCAGCCCGCTTCTATCTCAGGCAGGTCACTTCCACACTTTCCAGGTTTTCCAGGGTTTCCAGGGGGGTCTTGGGGGGGACCACAGGCCACCCTGGAAAGCATGGAAAATTGAGTCTAGGAGCTTCATTTTTCCACGCTTTCCACGTTTTCCAGGGTGGCCTTTGAGCCCTCCCAACACCCCCCTGGAAAGCGTGGAAAATTGAGTCTAGGAGCTTCATTTTTCCACGCTTTGCACGTTTTTCAGGGTGTTCGGAGTTCGCTTTTGAACCCTATCCTTCCAGCCCGATTCTGGTGTCTAGGAGCTTCATTTTTCCACGCTTTCCACGTTTTCCAGGGTGTTCGGAGTTCGCTTTTGAACCCTATCCTTCCAGCCCGATTCTGGTGTCTAGGAGCTTCATTTTTCCACGCTTTCCATGTTGGCTTTTTGGGCCCTCCCAACACCCCCCTGGAAACCCTGGAAAACCTGGAAATGGTGGAAGTGACCTGCCCGGCATTGAGGCCTGGGCTTGTTCAACTCGGCGAGCCTTCAGCGGTGATCGTCCGGAGCCCAGGTCCCGTCGTGCTTAGCAGCCTTGTGCAGCCTTGTGCAGCCTCACACGTACCTTGCGCGAGTTTTGTGCCCTCTCGAGCTTTAGCCGCCCCGACTCGTAGCTGCGTCATGGCCTGGAACCTCGTCCTGAAGTTCCTGACGGAGACGGCCGTGGAGCCTGTCGAGCACCCGTTTCTCAACAATGGCGTGATCGGAGAGCCGGATATCGACCTTGCCCTCGACCACGTCCAGGTCTTGTCTCAAGTGGCTGCCTGCGATGCTGACTCCCGTCGCGAGCTGCAATCCCCTCTTGCGGATTGGCGTGCGGCGCTGGGGCGCATGACTTCGACGGAGATCGGCCAACGTTTGTCCTTCCTCGGCGAGCACCCACTGCGGGGACGGCTGTTGGCAGCAGCGGAGCGGGTTCGAGGGCTGCTTGGGGACGCTGCAGCCCGACAGTTCGCTTGGAATGTTGCCGATGCCACGTGGCGCGATCCTTCGGTTCTCTTGAGGTACGAGGCGGAGTTAGGGCTGGTGGAGACCGAGCTGGATGCGATGGAGTCTGAGCCGTCGGGACCGCCGTAGGGGTGCTGTGCAGTTGCTGTCCCTAGCAGGTCTAGCGCGTTCGACGTACAGGAACCGAGCACCCAGCGTACAGGCTGTGCACAAAGTCCTGCCGCTTTGCCTGCTGTGTGCGCGCATCGGCATGTTCTGCAAGCTGGCCCTGCGCCCAGGTCGGTTCGACGTCTTCCAGGTTCGTGTGGTCTGCAGCCCCTGGTTACCTTAAGTCCCGAACCCCCAGGCCCGAACCCTCTAGAACCCTTCATCCCTACTAGGCTGCCCTGCTCGGGCGGCAAGTCTACGGCGGCGCCGTGGGCCCGGGATTGAAATCTCTAAGCTGCCGCACCGCTAACGGCACCGGCCGCCGAGTCAGCCGTGCTTTAGGCTCCGCGGAGCCGCGGGGCACCGGGAGCGCATGCTTCAGCAGGGTCTCCGAGCCGTCGGTGGCCCGCACCGTCATCGAGTCGTAACTCGAAACCTCCCGCACCGCCCCGTACTGGGGCTGGAAGCTCCTCGCTGCATTGGTGGGGGCCCGGAACGCCCCCGCCTCCTCGAGCCGCCGCTGACGGCTCCTCGTCAACTCGTCGTTGTGCTTGAACTTCGCCGCATTGTCTTGGTAGACCCGGAAGCTCGCAGCCGGCATCGTCTCCACATCCTCGGGGGCCACCGTCACGGCCGCATGCGGGCGGGCATTGTAGGCTTCCGCCGCCTCTTCCACATGGTCGCCCCAGCCCCCACCGTCCCGGGACACCTTTCCCGCCAGATCCTTCTTCAGTGTTTGGATGGCTCGATCCACCACCGCGGTCGCATTGCGATCGGAGGGGTCCTTCTGGCGGTGCACCGCGCCTCCGGGCAGCGCCGCCTCCAAACCCCGAAACTCGTTCCCCATGTCCGTCGTGACCACGACGTTGCTTTCGTCCTGGACCAGGTCGGGGATGATCTCCGCCGCCGCCTGGGTGACCGTCTCGGCCCGCTTGTCGGGTAGGGCCTTCGTCGCCACCTCCCTCGTGAAGACATCCGTCACCACCAGCCCGTACTTGTTCGCCCCCCTCGTGTTCTGGGAGAAATCCACCAGGTCCGCTTGCAAGCGGTCGTTCGGCCCCTCCGCCGCGCTCTTCCCCAAACTCCGCGGCTTCGGTGCGAGCACCTGCCGCGCCACGTCGCTGCGCAATGCCGCCTGGGCCCGCGCACTCGTTAGGTCCCGTCGGTCCGGAAACTCCCGTCTAGCGATCTGGTAGAGTTTTCTAGGATCCCTCACGTTGAAGTCTCTAGCTAGCCTCCCTAGGAGCTCCATTGCCCCATCCTCTGCCATTTTATACTGAGGTGCTTGCGCTGCTTTCGTGCAGAGGGCTGCAAACGGCAAGGCGCGGCAGGGGCTGGGCGGGCTTCCTGCTTGTTGCGCTCGCCCTGCCGCCAGGAGTGTGGTCCATTGGCTGACGCGCACCTGCGCTCGCTACCGGGCACCGCAAGGCTGGCTGTGGGCGATTCGGACGCGGTGATCAGCTTCTCAGGTGACGCCTATGACCGCACCGCCTTCTCTACGAGCGGAAGGTGCCTCGGCTGCGCTTTTGTGGGGGAATAGTCTTTCGGGCTCAATCCGAGTCGCCTTTGCGCCCCTTCTTCTCGAGCTTGTCGACCCGCTTCTGTAGCTCCTTCACCGTGCCCCAAAGCACGGCCACCATGCGCTGGTAGTTCAACGTCAGCAGCCCCTCGTCCGTCTCGTGGGTGAACATGGGGCCGAGCTTCCCGGCCGCCTGGACCTCTTGGGCGATGAAGCCCACCTGGTCCTTCTGCCCGCTGTCGGACCGGTCGTAGATCTTGGCCTCCACCGCATCGAAGATCTCCCGCATGTCCCGGTGCTTCACCGTCCGCACATTGGTCTTCACGCTCCGATCCGAGAGCTCCGTGAAGCCGTAGGTGGCCACCATCCAGCCGGGCAGCGACGGGTTGCTCTGGGGGTAGATGATCACATTGGCGCTGCTGAAGCCGCCGCTCACGTTCGTCAAGCTGATGGTCTGGTTGATGCTCGCCAGGGTGCAGCCGCCGGTAGAGGCCACCTCCAGGTCCGCACCGCCCAAACCCCCGTTGGCCAGCAGCCGCAGCCTGGCGAAGCCCGTGGCCGAGGTGTTCTCGACCTCGGCGGTGACGATGGACTGATTGCCCGTCACCTGCATCCTCTCGCACTGGTGCTGCACGCCCTGCGTGCCGCCAACCAGCTGCAGCCAGCTGCTGGTCGTCACGAGCCCGGGGTCCGCCACCAGGGCACCGCCCATGTAGACCGCCCCCGTGTTCACGTAGATGCCCTGGGTGCCGCCGGTGATGGTGAGGTAGTCGTCCGTGGGCCGGGCCTTCACGATGGGGCTCCGCAGCTCCGTGGTGAGCTCCACGCTGTCGGAGGTGGTGGTGCCCGCCACGGCCAGGCCGCCGTTGGCGGAGACGAGGCCCGTGGCCGCGATGGTGGAGCTGGTGTTGAAGGCTCCCGTGGCGGCGGTGCTGCCCACGAAGAACTGGGCGAAGTCCGCCGTGGTTGCGTTGAGGGTGCTGGCCGCGGCCACGGTCACATCTCGGTCCATGCTGATGCCGCCGTCGGCGAAGGAGGCCAGCAGCGCCCCGTCCTCCTTGCGGATCGTCACCAAAGCGTTCTGGACCTGCAGGTCCCCCGCCGAGCTCCGGAGCTCGGGCGTGTCCACGAAGCTCGTGGCCGTCAGGGAGTTGACCGTCAAGTCGGCGGTGGGGGCGACGCCTCCACTGTTCTCCAGGGTGGTGACGCGGTTGTCGATGGAGGTGACCTGGGAGCCCAGGCTGTTGAAGGTGGCGACCAGAGGGTAGCGCCCGTCCGACTGGCCCTTGGACCAGCAGTCGCAGGAGATTTGGAGGGTCGACCCATTCCCCAGGATGGGTTGCGCTGAAAGCGGCGTTTGGCAGAGCAAATTGCGGATGATGTTCGGAGTGAACTGGGTCTGCGCCAGGTTGAAGATGCCTCCTCCCTCGGCGCCGGGAGTGGTCACGAAGTAGCGCGCATCGAGCGGGCCCAGGTCGTTCGTGCGCAGGAAGCGGCCGTCCGCTTCGGCCTTGGACCAGCTGTCGCTCCGGATGCGCAGGGTGGACTGGTTGCCCAGAATCGCGTCGCCCACCAGCGGCGCCTCCAGCAGCAGGTTGCGCACGATGCGGGGCGTGAACTGCTCCTGCACCAAGTTGAAGATCTGCCCCGACTCCGCGCCGGGAGCTCTCACGAAGTAGCGGGCGTCCCCCGCCGTTTGGTCCAGGAAGCCGGAGCCGGCGAGCGCATCGTCGATCTCGGTCTGGGTGCGCCCGCTGGTCCAGTACTGCGTGAAGGTGGCCGTGAGCTGGCTGTCCAGCTCGGTGCGCGGGCAGTAAGAGAGGAGCTCGTTGGCCACGTAGGCCTGCGTCTGGGCCTGGTCGTAGTAGCCGGACAGGTCCACGTTGCTCAGGGCATCGGCGATCTCCTGTGTGACCTCTGCGGATGTCGAA